TAATTAACAAATTTTGTTTTTAAAGATAATATATTTTTTAATTATAAATTAAAGGTAAAAAAAATAAAATTGAAATTTATTAAATAATTATTAATTAAAAAATGTGACCACAAATTAAAAAATTAAAATGGATAAATTTGTTAATAAAATTAAAAAATTTTAATCCATTAACGGTTTGGTACAAAACGCTACATAAACTAGCTTTTTCAATCTGTTAGTGGTTTGAACCCTAACCACTATCCGCTAGTCTCAAACCGCTAAATAAAAATTTTACCAAAAACTTTATTTGTAACAGTTTCGAAATATATAAATTTACCAAACACTTATATTTAATGGTTTAGATAAAATCACTAACCGTTACTCCAAAACCGCTATATCACACAGGCTTTAAGAAGGGTAAAAGCAAAGTAGTTAATACCGTACCGGCATGCGTACCGATTTTGTTACTGGAACGGTACGTACCGGATACTGGAATTTTTTGCATACCGTTTTGGATTTATCGTTATAAAAAAATTTTATGAAAAATTTGGGGGAGAAGTTGAAGAAAAAAAACAAGAAGAGGAATAAATTGAAAAAATTAAAAAGCTGAGGATGAAACTTACTAAAACAAACCATAAGCCCGGCCCAATATTGAGCGGCCCATCAAAACCCAAATTTAACAAAACCCTAATTTCCTCTCTTTTAAAGGGAGAAGGAGGAGGTGCGGCTTCCAAAGCAGCCAAACCCAAAAAAAAAAAGAAAAAAAAGGAGAAAACAGAAAAAAAAACCTTGATTTTTCTCCCTTCTGCAAATCCACCATCGCCACCATCGCCACCATCACCTCCGTTCTTTCACCTCGGATCTTCACCATGCCCTTGTTGATCTGGCTTTGTTTTTTGTTTTGTGTGGGTTTTTTTGGTTTGTTTGTTTATATGTTGCTTTGCTTTGTTTGTTTGTTTGCTGTTTCTTGCTCTGTTCGGTGCAGATCCGGCGGCCTTCTTTCTCCTCCGGCGGATCTGTGGCGGCGCGCGCCAGGGCTGCCAAATCTGACGCCCACCGCGGCGCTCCTGCTGGTTCCAAGGGACTATGGCCGCCTGATCGGGTTACCGCCTGGGTATCCTGCCGCCACCCCCAGCCAAAACGACGTTGTTTTTGTTAGAGATTCTCTTTTTTTTTTTTCCTTCTTGCATAATGTATCGGTCAAATTTCGATGTACCAGTCGGTACTCGAAATTTCAGCCGGTACACCGGAATTTGACCAGTACACACGAAATTTGACCGAAACGAAATCTTAACTTATTCTATTTTGGTTAACCTTCAAAACCGATACATACCTACCGTACCGGCCGATACGGTACGGTATTAACTCCTTTAGGTAAAAGCCTAAGCTTAATCTTATCCTTAAAAGGATTTGAGATTTGATTTTAAAACTTTCTTTTTTGGCAAGGACTTGAAACTTACCCTTCACAAGTAATTGAAACCTTCCTTAACTAGGACTTAGAATTTTGAGAATTGTCTAAGGGTCTGAAGCTTATTGTTTCTGTCATTTTCTTCTTCTTCTTTTCCCTCCATTTTCATCAAATGATTAGCCTATTTATTGCCAAAGAAATCTTGCTAAATAACCTCAAATATCTTTCACTTTAAAGATAATTTAGTCATTTCATAAATAAATTTAATTTAATTTAAAAGAAAATCTATCTTTTAAAGATTTGTCACCCAACTTCTAAGATTTTACTAGAGTAAAAAAATTTTAATTTTAATAATTTTTTTTTATGTCTGTAAGTGACCCTCATAATTAATCTACTTACATATATTTTATAAAAAAAAAAAAAAGCAAATTAATTCTGATACACACTACACAAAAGGGTATGCAAAATTTTAAAGGAACAGTCACTCTTTTTTTTCATGGCTCTTTTCCCCTTTTTTTGGCCTTTTTTTCGGCCCTTTTTTCTTTATTTTGAGCCCGTTTCAATGGCCTTTCATTCTCCCTTTTTTTTTTTTCTTTTCTCAAAGCCCTGTTTGGATGGGTGGATTTGAATGGGAGTGGGGGAGAACGAGGGATAAGTATCTCCCTTAGTCCGTTTTCTTTTTCATCCTTTTAAATTGGAGAAATTGAGTGGGGTTTGATTTACATATTTAATATTTTTTTAATATTTTAAAAAAATAAATATATAAAAATATTTTATTTTAATTAATAAATTTTAAATATTTTATTTTATTTTAAATTATTTAATTAAATAAAAATATTTTCCTTTCCTCTTTTCTATTTTCATCTATCCAAACCCCTATTCTTTTCTTTCTTTTACTTCTCCTCTTTTCCTCCCCTCCCTTTACTGATTTTTATCCAAACAAATTGTAAGTTCGTTTACGACTTCCCTCCATTTTTTTTTTCTTTCTTTTTTTCAAGTCCGTTTACAGTCTTTAATCCTTTTTTTTTTTCCTTTTTTTTGAGTCCGTTCAAGCAAGGGAGTGAGGCTGTTTGAAACTCAAAACTCTCATTCCTCAAAATCTCATCCACTGTAACTCGATCGGCTTCAAATTCTTGTTTTAGCTGCAAATCGGGAGAAGTATAAATTCAAAAAAGATTTCAGCCTTCCCATCCACTCTATAAATTGATGTCTCTTTTGAGAGAGCAGAGCTGAGCAATTTTACGTTTGGAGAGCTGCCATCACCTACAGGAGTAGCTCCGGCATTTTTCCTTCCTTCACGGTGCAGCTACAGCACTCATCCACAGGAGTAGCTTCAGCCTTTTCCCTCCTTCACGGTGCAGCAGCAACCATCCATGGTCTGATAGTTGAGCGATCATCATACGGTTATGCTTACTGTTATAACGTCTTGCTGGATGCACTTTTTTTGGAATATAGTCAATATACCATGAATATGGCATGAATTTGGAAACCGTAGGAAAAGAATGATGGCTTATATCGTGAGCATGCTCTTTAATGGCTTGTTTCATCTTTTTTTTTTTTTTTAAGTCATCACTGGAAATTGTCCTCTTAGCAGTCATAGCCCACCCCTTCAGCACGTAATCTTGTTTAATTAAGTCAGACCATCCATTCCTGCATATTAAATTAAATGGCCCCTTTTTTTTTTTCTCTTTTTTAAACTCCTTTCTGCACTGATTTTCTTTCTTTTTCTTTTTCTGTACATTTTTTAATCTTGTTTCCACAAACTGCTGCACTTTGTCTTGAAGTAAAGAAATATCATGACAAAATATATACATGGCATTAAACAGGAAACCCATACTGTTTTTTTTTTTCTTTTCTTTTACTGGAATTTGGATCTGCTACTGCTTTTTTTTTTCGTGCTCTCCTGTTTCCTTTTTTTTTTTTTTTCTTTTCCTTTGTCTTCTGTGAAACTTGGAATTTGGCCTGGGCTACATTAAAGAGTGCTGGAATTTGGCCCTACTACTCCACTTTTATATGGCGTCATCCTCATTTTGCAATGGCACAAAACCTTTTATTGACTTCGCTGGAGGTCCTTTAATCCTCAATTTTAACAAAACTATTTTTATGAATTTTCTTGCCCAGATTCTATAATTTTTTTCAAGAGGTCCTTTTTTTACTTTTTACCTTAAAATTTTCTTATGACTAAACTTATTTAGCTCTCTAAAATTGAGAGTACCGCCTATAGACACAGAGATGATTAGTGCTTTGGATGATTTTTTTGAGGTGGACACATTTGAGAAACTTAGATTACTCCCTAGTTAAATCGATGAAAGAGTTCTATCCTTGAATGTTAGCATTGAAGAGACTGCTGAAGAAGGGGAACTTGACTCTTTTGACAAATGGCCAATTGTGAAGGAAAACATTGGACCAAATTCTCCTACCATGACATCATCTAGTCCACAAAAGCCTATGTTTACACTCTCCTACATCACAAAGCCTTTGGAGCCAAATTCTTCTCAAGCATTAGTGAAGTCCATCCTCCATAAAGATATGAGTAACTATGTTCAAGAGGAGTTTTCATAAGGCTTGCCAAATGGCTTTTCTGGTCTTGCAAAGCAGTGGGCAAAGCAATCTTTTGTGATCTCGGAAGCCTTCCAACTTTACTTTCACATCAATGCTGACCCTTTACTCAAGATGATGGATGCTTATCTATCCAAGATGAATCTTTATTTGGCAAGACGAGATGAAATTTTCATTGGCTTGAATGGTGAAGAAAGAGACAAATTCTCTTGCTACCTTACAAAAGAGGATATCATTAAGTCAAATTATTCATGACTCCTTTTTAAAGCAAATTAATGAATTCACTGAGAAGAAGTAATCCTTAGAGAGTAAAATTGAGAGTTTGAAAAAGAAGTTATGATCAGTTGAGCAGCAACATAGTCATGTGACTTTCACACTTGATTTGTGTCTTAATAAGAGACAAATAATAGAAGAACAACTCTAGTTAAACAAGGCAAAATTGGTAAAACTAGAGAACTCTAAAGTTTTAGCGATTGAAATAATTACTGAAGTGGAGAAGATGCGACAAGACCTTGAAGCTAAGTTTGGAATCCTAACAGATGGCACTTGGGATTGAAAATAGCATGCGATGTTGTTCATCTTGTAATTTTTTTTTTCTTTAGGTTTTGAGCATTTCCTTTCTAAGACTTGTTAAATTTTGGCTTTAGCGACTTTATAAATAAATAAGATGGATTTCTTCACTTTTGTTGTTCTCTTCACTTTGCTTTCTTTGCTTGACATTGACACTTCTCCATTCATTGGAACACTTAAGTACTTAATGAAATAAATTATAATAAAAAGTGAACCTTAATTTATTTTAAGGATTTAACAAATCTTGGAAAACTCCAAGCTACCTACATATCCTTATGAGGGATTAAGTCAAATGTAGTTTTGAAAGAATTTTTTTTAAGCCGTTTACAATTTATACTCTTTCGGGCCAAGAGTATTACAATTTTTTTTCTTTTCTTGTCTTTTTTTTTTTCTTGTACAATCTTATAGTTTATACTTTTGTGACAAGGAGTGGTACATCAAATTAAGAGGAAAACTTCTTGAGGAACTTTCCATTAATGGGACGATTGTGTAGACCATCCTTGTTAACAATCATGTAGGTGCCAGTAGTGCAAACTTTTATCACAACATAAGGACCATCCTATTTTGAAGTAAACTTACTCCTTGAATAACGAGTGATGACAATTGGCCTTCACATAGTTAACACTACATTTCCAACTTGAAATGCCCTTGGTTAGACATTCTTATTGAATGCCCTAGACAATCTGACTTGATAACATTCCAAGTGCTTTTGAGTTTAATCTTTTCTCATCTAAAGCTTTCAATTCTTGGAGGTAGAGCTTGGCATATTGCTCATCAATAAGGCTTTCTTGAATTGCAGTCCTCAGAGATGGAATTTAGCATTTTAAATGAAAGACAACCTCAACTTCATACACAAGCGAATAAGGAGTTGCTTATGTTGGAGTATAATGAGTCGTTTGATATACCCAAAGTGCTTCACAAATTCTTTCTTGCTAATCCCACTTAAATTTTGAAACAATCTTCTTTAAAAGATTACAAAAGGTCTTATTAAAGGCCTTTGCGAGTCTTCTTGTGATAATGTTGTACATTGAAGAAAAATGATAGACAAACTTGAACCTTGTACATAACTTATCCATGAGATTATTACTAAAAGGCTTGCCATTATCTATCATTACATTCCTTGAGACATCATATTGGTAGATGATATTGACCCAAATGTAGTCACAACATTTTCCTTCTTAGCTTCTCTCAAAGGTATAGCTTCTACCTATTTAAGAAGACAACCAATTGTTAATGTGATACACATATATGCAACCAAGGATTTTGATGTTATGAGTTAATCACATCTAACCCCCAACCATCATAGAGCTATAACACTATTGTTAGATGTAAACGCTCTAGTAGCTAGTGGATGAAATTTGCATGAAACTAGCATGCTTTACATTTCTTCGCATTGCTCCATATATTCCATGTAATCATTTACCATTATAAGTCAATAGTATCCCATTCTCCTTATGTAGTAATGAAGTTTTGGGCTAGATTGATAAGCTCGACAAATCTCAAAATATGCGTCCTCAATCACTTGAGGTAATTTATCTCCATCCAAATATCTAAGAACTCCATCAAAAGATTGTTGATAAAGCTCGTTACAAAAGTACACAAAGCCTGGAGCTTTCTTCCAAACTATAAAATTTTGACATGGATTATTAAGTAACTTTACATGCTCAAAGTAATTGATGATTGGTTATCTCCAATTTTTTTCTCAACAATAAACAATGAGATAAGATTTCTTTCTACACCTCCGAATGTCAATTGAAGAGAAATCCACCATTGTGACATCGAAATAATGACTTCTTAACTATTGTGATATGCCATGACAACAACTAGGAAGCTAATGCATTTGTTTGCCTGTTTTGATTCTAAGGAACATCAACAATTGAAACATAATCAAATTGTTGAATGAGTTGAGAGCCATATTAAAAGTACAAGACGAGATTTACTTTTTAAACACTAAACTCCTTTATGAGTTAATTCACAACCAAACTTGAATCCCAATAAACATTGAGTTGATAAATTTATATTTGAATAGCCATCTCTAAACCCATAATCAAAGTTTGATACTCAACAATATTTTAGAGCATTATTTTGTCTAACTAAAAGAGAATAATATTAGTTATATTTTGGTGCTATGAATATTACACCAACTCCAACACCATCTCTCCTTGATGCTCCATCAAAATCATCAAAATAGAGTTTCCATAACAATACATCTATAAAAAAGTACTTCCTTGTATGTTAAATCCTCTAACAACTCCCATTATGCTAGAATCAAATGGTTTGTAAGGAAATTGGCTAAGGCATGACCTTTTATCATCTTTTATAGTATATAACTATTTTATATTCAAACAATAACTATATCCACCTTACTAATCTATCAAAGAGCATTAGTGTTGACATGATGTATTTTAAAAGATCTACTTTTGAAAAGAGATGTACTACATGTGCCAACATATAATGTTTGAATTTCTTTAAGAAGAAGATTAAGGCAAGGCAAATTTTCTCAATAGGTAAATAATTCATTTTTGCTTCCATGAGAGTGCAATTCAAATAATTGAGAGCATTTTCTTTTCTCTTTTCATTAACTTATGCTAACAATGCTCCTATGGAATGTCCTTGTGCTGCATATAAAGGATCAAAGGCTTTACAAGAATAGGGGCACTAAGAACTAAAGGATGAGAGAGATACTTCTTAATGTTTTCAAAAGCATTTTGACATGTTTCATCCCATACAAATGGTGCATCTTTCTTCATTAACCAACTAAATAGATGACAACGTCTAACAAAGTTTGAAATGAACCTTTAAATGCAAGCTAGCTTACCTTAGAGGCTTTTTAGCCCTCAAAGATTGGTGGAGGGTGGCATCTTCACAATTACTTCTATCTTATATTGATCAATTTTAATATGTTACTACCCCACAATAAACCCAAGAAACTTGCTAGAGGAAACACCAAAGGCTTATTTTAATAGATTCATTTTCAACTAATGCTTACAAAGTCTCCTAAACATAATTTTTAAGTCATTGAGATGGTTATCACATCTCTTTGATTTAACAATCAAGTCATTCACATAACAGTTAGCTAACTTATGTAACGTGTTATTAAATATCTTTTTGTATTGCATGTTGATAAGTGGTTCTAGCATTTTTCAATCCAAATGGCATAGCTTTATAATAGTAGATGTCCTTTGGTGTTCAAAAAGTTATAAGCTCCTTACCTTTAAGGTCTATGCGGATTTGATTATAGCGAGTGAATCTATCAATAAAGGACAAGACTTCATGTCTTATGATTGCATGTATCATAAGTTTTATGATTAGGCATGGAAAGTCATCTTTTGGACATACTTGCTTTAAATTACGAAAATCTACATATATTCTAAAATGTCCATTCTTTTTATGAATTAGGACAATGCTTGCAATCTAAGATGAATAATGAACTTCACGTATAAAGTTGACTTTTATCAACTTATCAGCCTTAACTTTAATTTGTGAGATAAGGTTTGAATAGAAACGTCGTTGTGACTAGTTCACTAGATGTACCATACACTTTATAGCTAGATGGTGCATAACTATCCTAGGATCTAAATTGGACATCTCTTTATAAGACCATGCAAGTATATCCTTACACTTAGCAAGCAATTACATTTTTCTTACCTCTTTTTTGCCTCTTTCTTTGGGCTTAATGATGCACTTAGAAAAGTAAACCTTAGATCCTCCTTTATACCCAAGTTTAGTTGCTTCAACTCATCAATAATAGCTTGCCCTCCCTCTTTAAAGGTTTTCGGGGTTGAACCTGACTCTTCATTTAAAAAATCATCAAAGTTAGAAATTTTCTCAATTAAAACGTTGTTTGATTCTACATCTTCAT